ACATATGACGTCCATCTAACGCCTGTATGCAGAGAAAAGGAACCATACATACAGATTGAGACTCTTTACACCCATCGATCGGTAGGAGAGCAAACTCGAAACGAACACCACGCATGTCTATTCAACAGAACGACAGCATGAAAAGTGAGGTACGAGGTAGACGGCGAGAGTTACCTGCTCTTGGCTGTGTTGGTCCGGTGGGGCCCTGTCTCACAAGACAAAACGAGTTTTTTGTTTTGTAAATATTTATTAAAAATATAGTTACAACTGTCGTAGGATTTAAAATGGACATTTTAATGCTTATATGTACCCCAAGGAGGACTTCTTCTGAAAAAGAATTGACAGCTCCTTGTCATTGTCAATTACATCTGTCGGTGAAATTCACATCGTCTCCCATATCTGCACGTGGACCACGCTTTGCAGTGGTAGTCTCTTTATAGGACGCATATACTATAAGAGAGATTACTGGTAAATGTTGCAGACTTTGTTGTGGTCAAAAAGTCAAGTGTATTCTTCTCACACTGAGGCTGGTAAACTGCTGGAGAGATCACATCCTGGCAATTCCAGAACACTAATTCTTTTGAATGTACACCTAAGAACAACGGAGTTACGGCCTGTTACAGAGGGAACTATTTCTGTGGGCACTAGAAAACCAGGACGTGGGCAGTGTTGCTAGATTTTACGACACTTCCTCCAGCTATCTCACAACTGTCACAATTGACAAAATGTGAAATCCTAATGTGCCACCCTGTTTGTGTCGTAATTGTGTCGTAATTATTGACTTTTACATAATAATAATGTGAAGCAAAGATGTTCCACATTTCATTATATACAGTTTGGTACCTTCAAAAATGAAATCCATTGTGCTTTCGCAGAGCTGTGAACCCTATAAAAATGCGTTTTACCAAAAATTGACCAACTTCCAAGGGCAATAACTCCGACACTATTCAAGATATCGACATGAGTTGAACAAACTCAGAAGTCCGGAGTGTGGGCTTTAAAAGGATATATAGAACACTATTGTACTATTTGCCGTTCAGGAGCAGAAGATTGTTAAATACAGGCACCGGCCAAAAAGCGCGAAATGTGCAAAATCGCTGGCTGTGTTTGTGTCGAATGGTGACGTAATTATTGATTTTACATAACCATGATGTGAAGCAAAATGTTTCCCATTCAATTACCTACAGGTTGGTACTTAGAAGAATGGAATCCATTGATTTTTCGCAGAGTTTTGACCTTTCTTTAACCCTATGAAAATGTGTCTTAGAAAATTCACCGACTTCCAAGGGCGATAACTCCCAAACAGTTCAAGATATCGGTTATGCCTTTGAAAAATTAAGGTGTCCAGAGTATTGGCTTTCCAACGGCGTATCAAACACGATTGTACTTTATGCCGTTCTGGAGAAGAAGATTTTCAAACACAGGCACCGTCAAATCGTGAAAATCGGCAAAAATTTCAGTTGTTTCAAAATAGCGGAAAATTTGACCTGCCGGCCAACTTTTGCTATGGGTTGAATCGTTGGGGAATGGTGCTGTCTACATTGAGTGAAAATTTGGTCAATTTATCTCTTATAGTTTTTGAGATATTGAGGTGTAAAGATTTCGACATTTTGGGTTGTCGGCCCTAACCGGAAGCCGGAAGTCTGGATTTTTTCAACTATGTATCAATTTCAGCACAAAGGCTATCATCCCTGAAAGTTTCACGAACATCGACCCAGCGGTTAGGTCAGGAGAGCTGTCACAAAATTTGTACAAATAATAATAAAAAGAAGAGGAATAATATTCGGATAATAACAGTAGGTCTTCCAGACTTTCGTCTGAAGACCTAATAATAATAATGAGGGTACTTATACCGCTCAATACTCCACACCACAAAGGGGCATGCTCAAAGAGCGCACAAACACCACAACATTATTACCCCAGATAACCCAACCTGCCCGTTAGGTGCTAGAAGGTTATGTAGTCATACGGCTTATCCTACCAGGCACCCATTTTCTGCTGGGTGAACAGAGGCAATTCACAATCACTCAAGTCTAGGGTTGGGTATTGCCAAAATTTTCGCATTGCAATATATTGTGAAAGTGTAACACATGGTTTACGGTAATTAAATTACTGTTTCCTTTCTTTGAAACAATGCCACTGGCCACTATCAGGACTCAGATGTAACTGTACAAGAGATCAATTGAAAATGTTTCCAATTTGAAGACTTCGCTTTGGAACTCGAGAAAAGCGCCTCAGAAGGCGTCCGCCATTTTGGTTTGTTTATCCCACAACGAAAGTGCCAGTACCAATTCTATTTTGTTTTATTTATATAGTTTAAAAGTCACCCAAATGCAATTATATATGACCAATAAACATGATCAAAACTATTAATGTATAATAATATAAATGGGTTAACTAAGGTAATGAAATTACTGTTTTCCTTTCTTTTGAAACAATGCCACTGGCCACTATCAGGACTCAGATGTAACTGTACAAGAGATCAAATGAAAATGTTTCCAATTTGAAGACTTCATGAAGACTAGCCACTGTCAGGACTCAGATGTGATTGACAAATAAACATTCTCAAAACTATTAATGTATAATAATATACATGAAATACAAATGCTATTAGTATTTTTCACTACATCACGAAAATGGTCACGGAAATTGCTGATCGTATCGGGTGAACTGCTTCGCAAAAAATGTACCGCAATATATGGCATTGTGAAGTTCAAATTTCAATATACTGGTTAACCGATATTATCGCCCATCCCTACTCAAGACGGAAGTGGAACAGATTTAGTGTTGGTGGTGGTAAGACCCGTATGATTCCCCACATGGGTACAAATGCAAGACCTGTAAGATTCCTACACGGTACATGTATTAAGGTCATGATTCCCATGGGTACAATGCATGGGTACAATGTATTAAGATCCGGCATGATTCACATGGGTACAATGTATTAAGGACCACGGTATGATTCCCCACATGGGTACAATGTATTAAGACTCGGTATGATTCCCTCACATGGCAACAATGTATTAAGACCCGGTATGATTCCCACATGGGTACAATGTATTAAGACCCGGTATGATTCCCACATGGGCCAATGTATTAAGACTCGGTATGATTCCGGTATAAGTATGGCAATGTATTAAGACCCGGTATCGGGTATTCCCCACATGGGTACAATGTATTAAGACCGGCATGATTCCCACATGGGTACAATGTATTAAGACTCGGTATGATTCCCCACATGGGTACAATGTATTAAGACCCGGTATGATTCCCACATGGGTACAATGTATTAAGACCCGGGTATGATTCCCACATGGGTACAATGTATTAAGACCCGGGTATGATTCCCCACATGGGTACAATGTATTAAGACCCGGGTATGATTCCCCACATGGGTACAATGTATTAAGACTCCGGTAGGATCTCCATGATTACAATGCCCGGCATGATCATGGGTACAATGTATTAAGACCGGTATGATTCCCCACATGGGTACAATGTATTAAGGCTCCGGGTATGATTCCCACATGGGTACAATGTATTAAGACCCGGGTATGATTCCCACATGGTATAGTTAGCAATGTATTAAGGTCCGAATCTCCACATGGGTACATATGATTAAGACCTGGTATGATTCATGGGTACAATGTATTAAGACTCCGGTATGATTCCCCACATGGGTACAATGTATTAAGACTCGGTATGATTCCCACATGGGTACAATGTATTAAGGCCCCCATTGATGGTATGATTCCCACATGGGTACAATGTATTAAGGTTCGGGTATGATTCCCACATGGGTACAATGTATTAAGGCCTGAGTATGATTCCCCATGGCATGCAAGGTTAATGTATTAAGACCTGCGGTTGCCTGATTCCCACATGGGTACAATGTATTAAGACCTGGTATGATTCCCCACATGGGTACAATGTATTACAATTCCCCACAAGCATTAAGGCCTGGGTATGATTCCCACATGGGTACAATGTATTAAGACCCGGTATGATTCCCCACATGGGTACAATGTATTAAGACCTGGGTATGATTCCCCATATGGGAACGTATTAAGGCTCCGGTATGATTCTCCACATGGGTACAATGTATTAAGACCTCCGTATGATTCCCAACATGGGTGCAATGTATTAATGTATTAAGGGTACAATGTATTAAGGTATGATTCCCACATGGGTACAATGTATTAAGGTCTGGGTATGATTCCCACATGGGTACAATGTATTAAGGGTACCATCCCAATGTATTAAGGCCCCACATGGGTACAATGTATTAAGGCTCAATTCCCATTATGCCCTGGGTATGATTCCCTACATGGGTACAATGTATTAAGGCTGGTATGATTCCCACATGGGTACAATGTATTAAGGCCTGGGTATGATTCCCCACATGGGTACAATGTATTAAGGCCCGGTATGATTCCCAAAGAATCCGGCATGCTTCCAGCGATTCCACATGGGTACAATGTATTAAGGTATCCCCGGCATGATTCCACACATGGGTACAATGTATTAAGCCCATCATAATTCCGGCATGACTACATGGGTACAATGTACTTAAGGCCTGGGTATGATTCCCACATGGGTACAATGTATTAAGGTCCTGGGTATGATTCCCCACATGGGTACAATGTATTAAGACCCGGGTATGATTCCCCACATGGGTACAATGTATTAAGGCCTGGGTATGATTCCCCACATGGGTACAATGTATTAAGGCTCGGGTATGAATCTCCACATGGGTACAATGTATTAAGGCTCGGGTATGATTCCCCACATGGGTCTAAAACGCCACACTCAATTTAATCCATCCCTAAAGTCATCTATAAAGTTTGTGTATTTTACTTCCAAAATTCTTCAATGCCACTCAGCATCCGAAAACTTCGCGACTCACGAGAAATATAAGAAGTTGTTACCCAAACAGTTTGTGAATATCGTATTTCCAAACTTCTAGAATGCTACACAAAGAAGCCGCCTGCTTTACTCACCTCCCTGTTTGCTGTCTGGCGGAACTTCTCCTGCACGAGGGTTCTCGCCATTAACGGCACGGGCATCACTGGTCTTGAAGACACAGCTGCCACCGCTGGCTGATCGCCAGACACCCCGGTCTCGCCTTTCGCCAGGATGAGCGCGAGGCATCCACCTAACTTGTCGGGCAGGTATCCTGAAGCATGCTGAGGACCTGCCACATCATATAGTTGGCCAGCACTCTGTAACATGAACTCAATGTATGGCAGCGGTCTGTAAATAATCCAGTCTGGACCAGATAATCCAGTGATCAACAGCATGAGCATCGATCTATGCAATTGGGTGAGTGAGTTTAGTTTTATGCCGCGACTCAGCAATATTCCAGCTATATGGCAGCGGTCTGTAAATAATCCAGTCTGGACCAGATAATCCAGTGATCAACAGTTATGAGCATTGATCTATGCAATTGGGTGATTGAGTTTACTTTTATGCCACACTCAGCAATATTCCAGCTATATGGCAGCGGTCTGTAAATAATCGAAGTCTCGACCAGACAATCAAGTGATCAACAGCATGAGCATCGATCTATGCAATTGGGTGAGTGAGTTTAGTTTTATGCCGCGACTCAGAAATATTCCAGCCATATGGCAGCTGCCTGTAAATAATCCAGTCTGACCAGATAATCCAGTGATCAACAGCATGAGCATCGATCCATGCAATTGGGTGTTTGAGTTTACTTTTATGCCGCGACTCAGCAATATTCCAGCTATATGGCAGCGGTTTCAGAAATAATCGAGTCTGGACCAGATAATCCAGTGATCAACAGCATGACTGACTGACTGACTGAGTTTGGTTTTACGCCGCTTTTAGCAATATTCCAGCAACATCTCGGCGGGGGACACCAGAAATGGGCTTCACACATTTCAACAGCATGAGCATCGATCTATGCAATTGGGTGTTTGAGTTTACTTTTATGCCGCACTCAGCAATATTCCAGCTATATGGCAGCGGTCTGTAAATAATCCAGTCTCGACCAGATAATCAAGTGATCAACAGCATGAGCATTGATCTATGCAATTGGGTGAGTGAGTTTAGTTTTACGCAGCACTCAGCAATATTCCAGCTATATGGCAGCGGTCTGCAGACAATCCAGTGATCAACAGCATGAGCATCGATCTATGCAATTTGACACAATGACATGCATCTACCAAGTCAGCGAGTAGGGGTGTCGCGATACGCGAATGTATCGATGCATCGATACATTTTTACTGACGATACGATACGCGATACATGCTTGCGTGTATCGATTCCTTTTTTAAAACTTTATCGATTCAAATTTTTATGCTATATCCATCTCCGCCAAAAGTCTTGATAGTAAAATTATACCAGACCGTCCGATAAATAGATGTTGCTAGCTTTACTTAAAAATAGGTTGAAACTAACAGCTTTTGTGATTGGCTAGACTATTTTGATGGACCAATCAGCGAGCCGACGCTGCCGTAAGGTAATGCTATGAAAAGGTGCTAAAATTATGCATCGCGATACGCATCGTGATCGCGGACCTTCAAATCGCGATATCGATCGATCGCGGAGATTGTGTATCGTGATTTCTTCTATCAGCTTAGTCTGACCACCGATCCCGCTAGTCTTCAATTCTTAAGACAACATTTGCTGAAGATAAATTATAACCCAAATCTGTACAATGGTACTCACCCTTGGGTGTTTTGATGACGCCGCCAAGCTTTTAAAGTAGTCCACAGTGTACACCACAATCTCCTCCGACAAAGGAATGTTCGCCTTAAACAGCTTATCAACGTGTGTCTTGACTGTAAACTGGGGAAGAGGATGAAGAGGTTAGGATTCTGTATTATCAGGTTGTTTTCTTACAGACACAGTTTCTTGTATAACAATCTTCCAGGTTTAACCAATGTGTGTGAAATAGTCTGGCATCAAAGTTACCAGTCTTAAATTTCAAAAGGTTAAGCAAACATTTGTGTACTTTTCCAGAAACTCTGAGTATATAAGAATGCCAGGACAGATTTGTAATATACCTTCACTCATATCTATGACGATTTTGCCACACAAAAGACGAGTATTTGATTTTGAAACACTGCCAACCGTATGTTTCTGTCACCAACTGAAAAGTTGCATGAAGATGGGACATGCACAGGCACAGGCACATGCACAGGCACAGGCACAGGGATTTACAGGACGCAAATTCCTGCATCCTAAACGCATAAAAATTGACAATGGACGCAATAAAATTTATTAAAGAATCCACGGGATGCAGAAAAAGTCCAAATATTTTTTTGTAAAGATTCCAATCAAGTAACAATAAGTTATCACTGAGTTTGCTAGTAGTTGGGTTATGGTATCATTTGCAATTTAATTACTGAAACAATGTGATGATCATGATACACAATGCAATAACAGTATTAATAATAGTATTTAAGTGTCTGGGATCCCCATTGTGTTGTCCAGGACCCATGAAAGTTAAGAGTATGAGTCCCAGGGACCCTCAAATACAGGACTCCAGGTAAATCCCTGAGGCATATACACGCCGACAGGCATGCTCAAGACGCGACACTTACATGACCTTGATAGGCGTGAAATGAAAACTGTGTGAACTGCTGGAAATGACAGCAATCCGGTTAATTAAGTAAACTCAAAGCAAAAAATACGGCATATTCTGACTGACTGACTGAGTACAGTTTTACCGCGTTTTAGCAATATTCCAACAATATCACGGCGGGGACACCACAAAATGGGGTTCACAAATTGTACCCATGTGGGGAATCGAACCCGGCAAGTATATTATGAAGAGGGAGAAACTCTGATCGTGGGTACCCTCTGATTCAGAAAAAGATTATTTATTAGATTTTTAAAATGCTTGATGGTAGTATTTATCAAAGAAAGGGGAACTTCTGTGTTTATTTTCATGAACTAAGGGTTTCGCTTGCAAGTGCCATAGGTGGGACTGGATGAGCTCAGCTTTGGTGAACACAAGTCATTAAAATTCCCTGCGACAAATACAGTGGCTTGTTGAGGTAGGGACATTTCAGACATTTAGCACAACCAAAATTTTGCTATGAATGGGCTAGAGACAGGCAGCTGTTTCACACCCTGTACATGACAAATCAAATCTAGTTGAATGTATGCAAGAGTTATCTCCATAGATGTCAAAGTGAGTGAGTGAGTGAGTATGGTTTTATCGCTTTTAGCAATATTCCAGCAATATCATATGGGAACCCCAGAAATGAGCTTCACATAGTGTGCCCATTTGGGGAATCGAACCGGGTCTTCTGTGTGACGAGAAATAAATAGATGTCAAATACTCACATCACACAAAGGGAACATTTGTATCAGTTGGCAGATTAGAAAAACTTCAATTTTGCTGAAAGGAAATTCTTCTTTCCTCCAATATCAGAATATTACCTCTCTACAGAAGGTAACTACAGTCGAGCACCGTTGTCTCAATATTCATGGGACCAAGAAAAATATCGAAGTTATCTGAACTTGAGACATGCGACCAGGGCCTGTCATATCATATCACTATGAAAGAAAACAAAACACTTCTCAGTATGTTTTGATTCTGAAACTATAATCTGTGTTTAGTCATAACAGTGAGTACTTCCTAATTAGTTCCTTCTTAATTAATCCTAATTTAAAGGCAACACTAAGGTGACATAATCCCCTAATGCGCAAATATCAAATCAAACTTAAAAGTAATGAAAGTTTAAGATGAAGTTAAATGTCAACAAAACATGACCAGTCAACCTCTCTTGATATCTTGCTCTTTAGTTGTTCAAACACACAAATATTTTCAAGACTGACTTTGACCTTGACATGAATGTCATAGTGTATGAATATGCAAAATGGTACTAAAGAAATTGCTTGTTGAAAAACATTCAAAGGGAAGTCTTGAAAGCTCTATTAGGAAAATCCAGTGAATTCAGGTTAACATGCTGAAATATTCAAAGTGTCACAGTGACCTTGAAAATTATGTGAAGGTCACCGAAAATTGACTGGGTCTTGCACTTTCCCTAGATGAAGCTTGGTGTCAAATATGAAGAAAGTCCAGAGAATGGTTCTTGAGATATCTCGCTGACCATTTTAACATGCAGGTTAACATATTGAAATCTTCAAAGTGTCGCTGTGACCTTGAAAATAAAGTGAAGGTCACCATAATCGACTGGGCCCTGTGCTTTCCCTGGATGAAGCATGACGTCAAATATGAAGAAAAATCCAGAAAATGGTTCTTGAGATATCTCGCTGACAAGCATAACATGCAGGTTAATATGCTGAAATCTTCAAAGTGTCACCATGGCCTTGAAAATTATGTGAAGGTCACCAAAATCGACTGGGCCTTGCACTTTCCCTAGACGAAGCTTGGTGTCAAATATGAAGAAAGTCCAGTGAATGGTTCTTGAGATATCTCGCTGACCATTTTAACATGCAGGTTAACATATTGAAATCTTCAAAGTGTCGCTGTGACCTTGAAAATAAAGTGAAGGGTCACCATATTCGACTGGGCCCTGTGCCTTCCCTGGATGAAGCATGGTGTCAAATATGAAGAAAATCCAGTAAATGGTTCTTGAGATATCTCTCGCTGACAAGCATAACATGCAGGTAATATGCTGAAATCTTCAAAGTGTCGCCATGGCCTTGAAAAATTATGTGAAGGTCACCAAAATCGACTGCGCCCTGTGCTTTCCATAGATAAAGCTTGGTTTTGAATAGGAAGAAAATCTAGTGAACGGTTCTTGAGATATCTCGCTGACAAGAGTAAAATGTCAAAGTCCCCTTGTGACCTTGAAATTAATGTCAAGGTCACCACACCTGACTGGGACCTTTCTTATACTGTGATGAAGCTAGGTACCAAATATGAAAAGAATCTAGTCAACGGTTCTTAAGATATTCCAATTAATACGGACGTACAGATGGATCTGGATGGAGCCTAATACTATAATAACAAGTTACACCTTCAACAAGCAAGTTACACCTTCAACTCAATTAGCCCTAACTAGTTGGCACTACCAAAGTCCCTGTAAACGACCGTGAATGGCTGGAAACAGAGGATACTTGCTTATGAAAGGTAGGTGAATATCAGGTTTCTTTGCAACTATCGAGTTAAAAGGGCAATTTTGCTTGTTAAGACCATGAAAATATCGAGATATCCGAGAAATATCGAGACATCCGTGATCGCAAAAGAGCTTGAATAGGATAAATTAATAAGGATTTTGCTGAGAGACAACTGGGATATCGAAGTTATCAGAGTTCGACACAACGGTGCTCGACTCGACTATGCTTCTACAATTTACAATAACCATTAATATATTACATGCCAATGATGATTGTATGGCCAATTTACAATTCCCTGACAAGAGAGGATGAAGTATATAAACCCACCTGGCTGCCTATAATGGTCTGGAACTCCTCTAGAGTCATCTTGTGGTAAATAGCCACGGGATCTACAAGCTCCTCCTTCGGCATGAAGATCTGTTACAACACACGGAAACCTGATTACAACCATACAGTGGCATCTGTTACAACATAGAGGAGACAAGATCTGCTGTAACATAGGAGGGACAGAGTCTGCTACAACACAGGAGAGACAGAGTCTGTTACAACACAGGAGAGACAGAGTCTGTTACAACACAGGAGAGACAGAGTCTGTTACAACACAGGAGAGACAGAGTCTGTTACAACACAGGAGAGACAGAGTCTGTTACAACACAGGAGAGACAGAGTCTGTTACAACACAGGAGAGACAGAGTCTGTTACAACACAGGAGAGACAGAGTCTGTTACAACACAGGAGAGACAGAGTCTGTTACAACACAGGAGAGACAGAGTCTGTTACAACACAGGAGAGACAGAGTCTGTTACAACACAGGAGAGACAGAGTCTGTTACAACACAGGAGAGACAGAGTCTGTTACAACACACGGAAACCTGATTACAACCATACAGTGGCATCTGTTACAACGTGGAGGAGACAAGATCTGCTGTAACATAGGAGAGACAGAGTCTGTTACAACACACGGAAACCTGATTACAACCATACAGTGGCATCTGTTACAACGTGAGGAGAGACAAGATCTGCTGTAACATAGGAGAGACAGAGTCTGTTACAACACACGGAAACCTGATTACAACCATACAGTGGCATCTGTTACAACGTAGAGGAGACAAGATCTGCTGTAACATAGGAGAGACAGAGTCTGTTACAACACAGGAGAGACAGAGTCTGTTACAACACAGGAGAGACAGAGTCTGTTACAACACAGGAGAGACAGAGTCTGTTACAACACAGGAGAGACAGAGTCTGTTACAACACAGGAGAGACAGAGTCTGTTACAACACAGGAGAGACAGAGTCTGTTACAACACAGGAGAGACAGAGTCTGTTACAACACAGGAGAGACAGAGTCTACAACAACACAGGAGAGACAGAGTCTGTTACAACACAGGAGAGACAGAGTCTGTTACAACACAGGAGAGACAGAGTCTGTTACAACACAGGAGAGACAGAGTCTGTTACAACACAGGAGAGACAGAGTCTGTTACAACACAGGAGAGACAGAGTCTGTTACAACACAGGAGAGACAGAGTCTGTTACAACACAGGAGAGACAGAGTCTGTTACAACACAGGAGAGACAGAGTCTGTTACAACACAGGAGAGACAGAGTCTGTTACAACACAGGAGAGACAGAGTCTGTTACAACACAGGAGAGACAGAGTCTGTTACAACACAGGAGAGACAGAGTCTGTTACAACACAGGAGAGACAGAGTCTGTTACAACACAGGAGAGACAGAGTCTGTTACAACACAGGAGAGACAGAGTCAGTTACAACACACAGGAGAGACAGAGTCTGTTACAACATAGGAGAGACAGAGTCTGTTACAACACAGGAGAGACAGAGTCTGTTACAACACAGGAGAGACAGAGTCTGTTACAACACAGGAGAGACAGAGTCTGTTACAACACAGGAGAGACAGAGTCTGTTACAACACAGGAGAGACAGAGTCTGTTACAACACAGGAGAGACAGAGTCTGTTACAACACAGGAGAGACAGAGTCTGTTACAACACAGGAGAGACAGAGTCTGTTACAACACAGGAGAGACAGAGTCTGTTACAACACAGGAGAGACAGAGTCTGTTACAACACAGGAGAGACAGAGTCTGTTACAACACAGGAGAGACAGAGTCTGTTACAACACAGGAGAGACAGAGTCTGTTACAACACAGGAGAGACAGAGTCTGTTACAACACAGGAGAGACAGAGTCTGTTACAACACAGGAGAGACAGAGTCTGTTACAACACAGGAGAGACAGAGTCTGTTACAACACAGGAGAGACAGAGTCTGTTACAACACAGGAGAGACAGAGTCTGTTACAACACAGGAGAGACAGAGTCTGTTACAACACAGGAGAGACAGAGTCTGTTACAACACAGGAGAGACAGAGTCTGTTACAACACAGGAGAGACAGAGTCTGTTACAACACAGGAGAGACAGAGTCTGTTACAACACAGGAGAGACAGAGTCTGTTACAACACAGGAGAGACAGAGTCTGTTACAACACAGGAGAGACAGAGTCTGTTACAACACAGGAGAGACAGAGTCTGTTACAACACAGGAGAGACAGAGTCTGTTACAACACAGGAGAGACAGAGTCTGTTACAACACAGGAGAGACAGAGTCTGTTACAACACAGGAGAGACAGAGTCTGTTACAACACAGGAGAGACAGAGTCTGTTACAACACAGGAGAGACAGAGTCTGTTACAACACAGGAGAGACAGAGTCTGTTACAACACAGGAGAGACAGAGTCTGTTACAACACAGGAGAGACAGAGTCTGTTACAACACAGGAGAGACAGAGTCTGTTACAACACAGGGAGAGACAGAGTCTGTTACAACACAGGAGAGACAGAGTCTGTTACAACACAGGAGAGACAGAGTCTGTTACAACACAGGAGAGACAGAGTCTGTTACAACAGGAGTCACAACACAGGAGAGACAGAGTCTGTTACAACACAGGAGAGACAGAGTCTGTTACAACACAGGAGAGACAGAGTCTGTTACAACACAGGAGAGACAGAGTCTGTTACAACACAGGAGAGACAGAGTCTGTTACAACACAGGAGAGTCAGTTAACACACAGGACAGGAGACAGAGTCTGTTACAACACAGGAGAGACAGAGTCTGTTACAACACAGGAGAGACAGAGTCTGTTACAACACAGGAGAGACAGAGTCTGTTACAACACAGGAGAGACAGAGTCTGTTACAACACAGGAGAGACAGAGTCTGTTACAACACAGGAGAGACAGAGTCTGTTACAACACAGGAGAGACAGAGTCTGTTACAACACTGACAACAGGAGAGACAGAGTCTGTTACAACACAGGAGAGACAGAGTCTGTTACAACACAGGAGAGACAGAGTCTGTTACAACACAGGAGAGACAGAGTCTGTTACAACACAGGAGAGACAGAGTCTGTTACAACACAGGAGAGACAGAGTCTGTTACAACACAGGAGAGACAGAGTCTGTTACAACACAGGAGAGACAGAGTCTGTTACAACACAGGAGAGACAGAGTCTGTTACAACACAGGAGAGACAGAGTCTGTTACAACACAGGAGAGAGTCAGGAGTCTGTTACAACACAGGAGAGACAGAGTCTGTTACAACACAGGAGAGACAGAGTCTGTTACAACACAGGAGAGACAGAGTCTGTTACAACACAGGAGAGACAGAGTCTGTTACAACACAGGAGAGACAGAGTCTGTTACAACACAGGAGAGACAGAGTCTGTTACAACACAGGAGAGACAGAGTCTGTTACAACACAGGAGAGACAGAGTCTGTTACAACACAGGAGAGACAGAGTCTGTTACAACACAGGAGAGACAGAGTCTGTTACAACACAGGAGAGACAGAGTCTGTTACAACACAGGAGAGACAGAGTCTGTTACAACACAGGAGAGACAGAGTCTGTTACAACACAGGAGAGAGACAGAGTCTGTTACAACACAGGAGAGACAGAGTCTGTTACAACACAGGAGAGACAGAGTCTGTTACAACACAGGAGAGACAGAGTCTGTTACAACACAGGAGAGACAGAGTCTGTTACAACACAGGAGAGACAGAGTCTGTTACAACACAGGAGAGACAGAGTCTGTTACAACACAGGAGAGACAGAGTCTGTTACAACACAGGAGAGACAGAGTCTGTTACAACACAGGAGAGACAGAGTCTGTTACAACACAGGAGAGACAGAGTCTGTTACAACACAGGAGAGACAGAGTCTGTTACAACACAGGAGAGACAGAGTCTGTTACAACACACAGGAGAGACAGAGTCTGTTACAACACAGGAGAGACAGAGTCTGTTACAACACAGGAGAGACAGAGTCTGTTACAACACAGGAGAGACAGAGTCTGTTACAACACAGGAGAGACAGAGTCTGTTACAACACAGGAGAGACAGAGTCTGTTACAAACAGGAGAGACAGAGTCTGTTACAACACAGGAGAGACAGAGTCTGTTACAACACAGGAGAGACAGAGTCTGTTACAACACAGGAGAGACAGAGTCTGTTACAACAGACAGGAGAGACAGAGTCTGTTACAACACAGGAGAGACAGAGTCTGTTACAACACACAGGAGAGACAGAGTCTGTTACAACACAGGAGAGACAGAGTCTGTTACAACACAGGAGAGACAGAGTCTGTTACAACACAGGAGAGACAGAGTCTGTTACAACACAGGAGAGACAGAGTCTGTTACAACACAGGAGAGACAGAGTCTGTTACAACACAGGAGAGACAGAGTCTGTTACAACACAGGAGAGACAGAGTCTGTTACAACACAGGAGAGACAGAGTCTGTTACAACACAGGAGAGACAGAGTCTGTTACAACACAGGAGAGACAGAGTCTGTTACAACACAGGAGAGACAGAGTCTCTGTTACAACACAGGAGAGACAGAGTCTGTTACAACACAGGAGAGACAGAGTCTGTTAGGAGAGACAGAGTCACAACACAGGAGAGACAGAGTCTGTTACAACACAGGGAGAGACAGAGTCTGTTACAACACAGGAGAGACAGAGTCTGTTACAACACAGGAGAGACAGAGTCTGTTACAACACAGGAGAGACAGAGTCTGTTACAACACAGGAGAGACAGAGTCTGTTACAACACAGGAGAGACAGAGTCTGTTACAACACAGGAGAGACAGAGTCTGTTACAACACAGGAGAGACAGAGTCTGTTACAACACAGGAGAGACAGAGTCTGTTACAACACAGGAGAGACAGAGTCTGTTACAACATAGGAGGGACAGAGTCTGTTACAACACAGGAGAGACAGAGTCTGTTACAACACAGGAGAGACAGAGTCTGTTACAACACAGGAGAGACAGAGTCTGTTACAACACAGGAGAGACAGAGTCTGTTACAACACAGGAGAGACAGAGTCTGTTACAACACAGGAGAGACAGAGTCTGTTACAACACAGGAGAGACAGAGTCTGTTACAACACAGGAGAGACAGAGTCTGTTACAACACAGGAGAGACAGAGTCTGTTACAACACAGGAGAGACAGAGTCTGTTACAACACAGGAGAGACAGAGTCTGTTACAACACAGGAGAGACATGATCTGTTACAACACAGGAGAGACATGATCTGTTACAAGAAAAGATGTATTATCAATTTGAGAAGTTAGGTATGTTTTTCAGGATATATCCATTAATACACTAATTTCTTACGTCTATGTTTATGAGATAAAAATGGATGTAATGTGTTCAAAATGTCCAAAAAACAGCTATGGATTGTTTTCTGTTTTCAGTAACACAAAAGCTGAACCTAAAACACTAAAACACAAGCGAAAGTATTATCACCTCTGCCAGACTTTTCTCAAGGTCATAGACTTTTGTCATTTTGTCCCGAGTAGAGTTATCTCCCCCTAAAAGCTCTCCCATCCGTGTCGAGAAGCCAAGGAAAGCTGTCTTGTACTTCTCTGTGTGGTTGCCGGTGTATTCCTCCCTCTCACCCAGAGTCAGCCCGCTCTGCTGGAACTGTAACAGGGGGGGATAATGTAACAACTCCTGTAACACAAGACCTTCATAATACAAAGACACAATAACAGTGTGCTTGTCTCATAGCCCCTGAACACATATTTTCTCTTCTTGCAACCCTCAATGAAGCAAGTCGAGATTTTCTTCAAGTTCTGAATCTCTCATCTCATAGGGGCTCCTTTTCAATTTAAAAGAATTATTTGTTTCTATCAAATTTATATATATTCAAAGACTAAGTGTTTGTAAAAGCGGTCTGTAAATAATTGAGACTGGACCAGACAATCCAGTGATCGATATCACAAGTTTCGATCTATGCAATTGGGACACCCGTATTAGTTGCCTTTTATGACAAACATGGGTTGCTGAAGACCAATTCTAACACAGATCTTCACGGGTTCACCATATACCGTATATTACCATAGATGAGCCGAATTTTGAGAACCGAAAAAAGCAGTCTGTAGAAGGGGGTCGGCTTATCTATGGGTTACACTTTCGTCAAATTTTTTTTCATGGGGTAAGAAAACGACATCGTGTTGCTTTGTGTGAACAAACAAACAAACAAGAGAAGACGACTTTGTCAGTTTTGATGTCAAATTTGCAATTAAACATCACTTGACAAGATTATTTACCTATTCAGTTCTAATTTGTTTTGCAATGTAATATCTTATATGCAGGGATTAAGATTACCGTGTGTATTTGTCTCGTATACAGAGCCGGAAATAGCAAACAGCTGTGCAGTGTACACGTTCCCCTACTGGTGATTTAGTTCAAACGTACCCGATAATATAACAAGAGGAACTCTGATGCAGTGATCTTTAAAAATATATTATCTGAATCTATTATTTTATCAAAAGAAATATACTGAGAGAAATAAATAAGGGATGACATGAAAGCACAAGTGTTCCTTTATTTCTTTCCAGGTTTCTTCACAAGCCTTGTATCGCATAGCTTGTGAAGAAACCTGGAAACAAATAAAGGTACACTTGTGCTTTCATGTCATCCCTTATTTTTATCCCTCAGTATATATTCTATTATTCTGTGTACAACACAGACTTTGGATGGGTGGTGAGGGGCCTGTTCTCTCTGAATCTCTGGGGACTGTTGATGGACTTACTGTGATGATGTTCTGATCACTGTGCATGTCATCCTGACCGACGGTCAAGTGGAAGAACGCTGGAAGGTTGAGCTTGTGTATGACCAACAGAGAGTCCAGGAAATTCCAGCTGGACTCCTGCCATGTCCCCGAAACAGGGTCAGAGGTCACTGTCCATGACCCCAACTGCTTGATCAACTGAAACAGTGAAATGTGAGTGAGTGAGTGAATGAGATAGATGAGTGAGTGAGTTATTACAGCACTTTCAACAATATTCCACCAATATCAGAGGCTCTTATAACACAAATGACCTTCACACATAGTACTAATGTAGAGAATCGAATGAGTGTTGTGGCTTCCGCGCTACTTGGAACAGTAGTCATTTACATCACAGCGAGTCAGCTTAATGTCAAGTCCAAATTGATTGATGTTTATAACTTCTCGTGAAAACCACATGCTCAGGAATGGTGCACAGAAACATAGAAACACAACAAGGGCCATTCCAGCATCATTCCTGATGCATTCAGACATCCAATCCCTTTTCATTCAGGCAATTCCTGATGTATTCATTAATTCAACTCCCACAGAAACTTTTGGCTTTGTTATTTTAATACCGGCAATATTCCAGCTATATGACAGTGGTGCAGAGCTCCAGATATGATTTAGCTCATGTTGGTACTGTACCCACTGTATTTTATTGGAGTGGGTATTATGAATGTTGAGTGGGTATTTCATTTTCCGCTACCCACTGCCTTCAAAGATGTGGGTATTTTTCAGTGATATTACTCACCTGACTATATGTCATTGAGTTTGATTACTGAGCAGGTATGTACTGCTTTACGTCATACCTAGGCAAAACCAACTTAAACATAATGGAAATGATTTCATAAATCATTCATTTACAATCAAGTCGACCATGCTAGCATTTTCACAATGACTGTAACTTAATCAACAGTTCAAAATATCACTGATATGTGTAACCATGGTAACCACTGTTCATGATAAGTTGCTGAGTGAACAAAAGTAAATTAAATCATCTTTGACAAAATAATAAAAACAAAGTGAGTATCGCTCAGCCTCTCGACAGACTTCAGATTAATTGCTCTGACACTTTACATGATTCCTTGTGTTATTAGCTAGGTATACGAGAACTTATAGTCCGTGTATGGTGATTAGGTGGGACTTCTGGATTTTGGCACTTTAGCCGAGGCTTGTATTCACTCTACAGTCTTCCTTTTTGTCTTTCCTCAGCCAGTGACGGATAGAGGAATGAGGGTCAAAATGAACTCAGAGATGGGCCTAGCATGCTTATTTTGAGGAGGACATCCAATGTTTTGGAACCAAGAGAAGCCCTGACTTAGTCTTCAGGACGGTTTTTGAGCACTGAAACTCATCTCACATTCAACACTGGTGAGTGGTATACAGAGTGCAATGGTGGCAGGATGGCACAGTTTGGCATGGCAGCTCTGTTGGGAAGAACCACTCTTTGCACAGCTGATCTAGTAGCAGCTGAGTATGTGCCAGTTATCAAACCTTTCAGCCTGGGCAACTAGTCAAGGAGTTGCTCATGGTCAAGTAGGGGACTAACGTGTTTCACATACTCAAGTCCTTCCTGAAGGTTACCATCTATCACCTTTACATCTTTCTGCAGGGCTACAGATAAAGGGCGTACAGGCGTAATGTACGCCTCAAAATCAAATAAGTCTGACATAATATAAGATTTCAAAGCGTGTCGTGTATGCGCACATAAATACTGCTGTACGCGTCTAACATTTAATTTCCGTGTGTATCGTGCAAATGGAAATCTATTTCGGATAAATACTTGTCAAGTTTCCTTTCTGAAACACGATTTGACACATGAGGAAACCCGACAGTAGGAATCCCTTAGCGTTGCCATGCAGCGATATCGTCACTATTTTTCGATTGGCTAAAAACTACACTGTTCCTATTTATATCTAGTCGGACCTGACATTTTAGCATCACACGCGTCAGCTCAGTTATTTCTCACGCATCTTCAAATACAAATACATGGTTGGAAATAGTGATCGATGAATAGTCCAGACAAACCACATCACCAACTCGCTCACACAAAAACATGTCAGTACTCCTTCAAAATTCTCAGTACACCTCCACTTGCAATATGATGTGTAAGTACACTCACACCCCCAAAAGTTATCTGGAGCCCTGTTTCTGGATGCCATACAAGTCACTGAGATGTGCAATAGCATCGTCTGACTCTTCATGAGATACACTGTTGACAGTGAGTGGCTCCACCACCTTTCTCATATCCATGAATATGGCACTGTCCTCCTCCTCCTTGAACCTGGACTCAGAGTCTGAAATTGTTCATCCATGGCTTGTGCATATACCAAGTCTTCCCCACCAACAGATGCTTTGTTGTCTTCAATTCAAATCCTTGCCTCCATTTGCTTCAAGCCCTGTCCATCTTGAACCTTCATGACTTCAACCTTAGACAGAGTTCCTTCAATCAGAGGCTTCAGCTCACTGAAGACAAGGTTTTGTTTCTGTAGGCTGCAGCTCAACACTGCCAGTTCTGTGTGGATATCAAGCATAAATGCTGTGACAAGTGCTACTTTGTAGCTGGCAAAGTACTTGTGCAGACCTATCACTACTGCATTTCTTTCAGCTGCAAACTTGGACAGTGTTGTGAGGACTGATTCATAACTTTCAAAGACTGCCTCCACAGCATTCTCCAGTCCCAGCCATCGAATAGAGCATGGTTCCTTCACAGTTAGTTCGGGTTCTTCCAACTGCTTCTGAATTTCTTTCAGTGAAAGTGTCCTACTGCTTGATGCAGTTATGAAATGGTGAAGTCCCTTAAATTTGTCTCTGAACTTCATTAGGTACTCATTTTCCTTGATTGAGTCAACACAAGCCAGGTTTAGCCTGTGAGCCACACCATGGGATTGTACACAGAAGGGTGAGTATTTTCCTTGATTGAGTCAACACAAGCCAGGTTTAGCCTGCTAGCCACACCATGGGATTGTACACAGAAGGGTGAGTATTTTCCTTGATTGAGTCAACACAAGCCAGGTTTAGCCTGTGAGCCACTTTGTACACAGAAGGGTGAGTATTTTCCTTGATTGAGTCAACACAAGCCAGGTTTAGCCTGTGAGCCACGCATAATGGGTTTGTACACAGAAGGGTGAGTATTTTCCTTGATTGAGTCAACACAAGCCAGGTTTAGCCTGTGAGCCACACCAATGGGATTGTACACAGAAGGGTGAGTATTTTCCTTGATTGAGTCAACACAAGCCAGGTTTAGCCTGTTAGCCACACCATGGGATTGTACACAGAAGGGTGAGTATTTTCCTTGATTGAGTCAACACAAGCCAGGTTTAGCCTGTGAGCCACACAATGGGTTTGTACACAGAAGGGTGAGTATTTTCCTTGATTGAGTCAACACAAGCCAGGTTTAGCCTGCTAGCCACACCATGGGATTGTACACAGAAGGGTGAGTATTTTCCTTGATTGAGTCAACACAAGCCAGGTTTAGCCTGTGAGCCACACAATGGGTTTGTGGTTTAAACATGGTTTAAACATATTTTTATTCCGTCAATGCAGAAACCTAGATGGGCGAACAAGCCTAGTGGCTTATATAAACGCCGCTCCAGTACACGGTTCCAATATAGCTGGATACATATTTGAAATAGACGGACAAGAAAAGAATAATACTGGGACAAAATTACACTCAGAAAAATGATTGAATAATAAATATTTATAAATATTTGGTTATGGTGTTGGTTATGGGATTGTACACAGAAGGGTGAGTATTTTCCTTTGATTGAGTCAACACAAGCCAGGTTTAGCCTGTGAGCCACACCATGGGTTTGTACACAGAAGGGGTGAGTATTTTCCTTGAATTTGTTACCCTGCATCAGTTCGCTTTGCCCATCATAGCTGCAGGGCCATCCGTCGACAGTGACACACATTTGGTCAGGTCTATACCCAACTTCTGGAACTCCGCTGCCACACAGTTAACACTAGTATGGGCACAACCATCATCAATAGGCTCATTACACAAACACTTGGTGACAGGTTCTCCTGCTTTCACAAACCTAATACATACGCTTCAACGTTTCAAAACAGTCACATCTGTACTTTCATCAAGCATGATTGCAAATACCACAGATGAATTAATGTCATTCACATGGGTCTTTGTCAGTACATGGCAAATTGATTTCTGTATTTCTGTAACAGTTGTCCAACTGAGATTCTTGTATTTCACATTAAGTCCGTTCTTAGACTGCAACACCAACCATCCATTAAGTTGTTCAGATGGGCACTCTGATTTGGCAGCATACTACACGGTGTTAAAAAAAATCTTGACGTCATTGAAACAACTATCCACATTATCCTTAATTTCAATTAAGTTTTCATCAAGAATATCGCATTTCCTTTCTCTCTCTCGATGTCGCGAACTAGCATTTTGTGTTCTATTAACTTTCATTATGTCTGATAATGCTAGAAATCTGTATGCTCTGTGTCCTTCTGAAGCCCATTCACTTTTTGATAGACAACTGAGATCTTGCCGATTGACAGTTCATACAACACAACTTCATTTCATTTTGATGAGTTTCTTTGACAGTTGTTTGTTTTACCATGCCGGGATGCCATGTTTGTTGATAACAACTATGGGGTTCGTGAGACGAGCGATTTGATTGGATGATATTTTTAACTGGACCAATTAGCGTCGCGATGGCAAAATATATAAGCTGCATTTGCGATATTGCTCACAGAAAGTGCTAACACAACCTGTCAACACAAACAATAGCAATTCATGTCTTTTGCAATACGCCGACGATTTTTAGAAATATATTCCGTACCCAAATGTTAAACCTTTTGCGTATCCAACATTTTTCAATGCGTAATTGGTACACAACAAGTATGTTTCTATGCATATTTTCCCCAAATACGCAGCTTATCTGTGCCTCTGACTGGTCTGTAAATAATCAAGTCTGGACCAGACAATCCAGTGACCAACAGCATGAACATCGATCTATGTAACTGGGATACCATGACATGTGTCAACCAAATCAGCGAGCCTGACCACCTGATCCCGCTAGTGGCCTCTGATGACAAGCATGGGTTTCTACAGACCACTTCTAACCTGGATCATCACAGGTACCTACAGAAACCATATATGAAGTTACCTCAAGAGCTGGAACAATGCCCAGACTCTCCACTGCCTGCTTGTCCATGCAGCTCTTGTAATAGGTCTTGGCTTTGGCGACAGATGTTGAATTCTTCCCTTTGTACATGGTTTCCTTGGAGTCGAGGATCTGGCAACAAATAACGGCAGTGTTATAGCAGAGCTCGATCAATATGATTCCCCTGAACATACCTGGTGACTACAGTAAACTAATACATGAACTGAGTGATAGAGAATACTACACGAGGTCTCATTACATCCGAATTATACGAAACGAGTGTCCTTCCCCAGATAACATAGGAAGGTCACGAGTTTCGTATAATTCGTATGTAATGAGACCGAGTGTGGTATTTTATTTATTACCCACGTCTTACATGCATTAAATTGACAAAAAAGCGTATTTTTGTTATGTTTTCAGTTTCAAACCGAAACCGGTTTTATAAAGAGGTTGCAGAAGAGTTTTATACTGTAGTACAATATTTGCATGACATCACACTGTAATGACTTCACTGCCTTGGTAACCGACGTCACGATGCATGTCAGTTGTCATCGCCTCGTACAGCCTCCTACAGTAAACTACTCCGTAGCACCCCGTTTCTTGGATTCCAGTTGCTTCATTCGGCTAACATCACTGGTGGAAACATTGCGCTTTATGTTTTTCGACGGATATAATGTCTCAGTTCGACTCACAAATAAACAGCAACACGGCAACGTTAGCAATGTTTACATTCCCACAATGCATGTAAGTTGTAGAATGAATGAAATCAAGTGCGTTTGTTATGAATGAAAAATAGTTCCGTCACAAACGCGACCTAATTGAGAGGCCATCATCGGTTATCAAATCAAATCGTTAGAATCTCAGGTCAGGTCGTAACAACACAGGTCAGCTGCTATATACGACACTCGTTTGACGTACAAGATTAGTATGCAACTACCCATACGTTGACCTCGTGGGTAATAAAGTTTAGTTTTACATCACTTTTAACAATATCACAGCAATATCACAGCTGGTGACATTGGAATTGGGTCTCACATATAGTACCCATGTGGGTAATGGAACCCTGGTCTTCGACGAGACAAGTGAACGCTTTAACCATTAGGCTACCCACCCCTATACATTGAATAAAACTAGCAATAGTACTTTTTCAATAGACTGATGTTCTCATTTACGTATCATCAGATAGCACAAACTTTCATATTTTCTCGAAAGAAACCCAATCCTTTCAGGCCTGACCGTTTTAATTCTTGTTTTACGGATTTTTCTCCTCAGAAAACTTAAAGGTAGGAGGGAATTTAAAAAAATAATAAATCAAGACATATTCTTTCTAAAAACTAAAAGTATTTTACTGTTGGTAATTTATGAAGTGTATATGGGGCAAAAAACAATCTGAAAAATATTTTCCTGCAAGTTTACATTTTTGTCCAATAAAGACATTAGAAATTTTTTTGAGCCGGGAAAAATAATTTTTCTCTTTCTTATTCTTGAAAAATATGACCGGTAGGATCCATAAAACAAGAAATGAAATTGGTCTGGCCTAAATAATTAATTACTGTAAACTATGAGGGACCAATCAATTACTTTGTTGTAACCATTGTTGTATACAATGTATAACAAGTGTTTATGACTAGAAAACCCACAGTATGTTGTATCCCATCAGTCAGTTTATCCATCCATCAGTTTATCCATCCATCCATCAGTTTATCCATCCATCCATCAGTTTATCCATCATCAATCAGTTTATCCATCCATCCATCCATCATTTTATCCATCCATCCATCAGTTTATTCATCCATCCATCCATTAGTTTATCCATCCATCCATCAGTTTATCCATCCATCCATCCATCAGCTTATCCATCCATCTGTTTATCCATCCATCCATCAGTTTATCCAATAGTTTATCCATCCATCCATCAGTTTATCCATTAGTTTATCCATCCGTCAGTTTATCCATCCATCCATCAGTTTATCCATCCATCCATTAGTTTATCCATCCATCCATCAGTTTATCCATCAGTTTATCCATCAGTTTATCCATCCATCCATCCATTAGTTTATCCATCCATGTTTATCCATCCATCCATCAGTTTATCCATCATCCATCCATCCATTAGTTTATCCATCCATCCATCAGTTTATCCATCAGTTTATCCATCCATCCATTATCCATCCATGTTTATCCATCCATCCGTCAGTTATCCATCCATCCATCCTTCCATCAGTTTATCCATCCATCCATCCGTTTATCCATTCCATCCGTTTATCCATTCATCAGTTTTATCCATCCATCCATCAGTTTATCCATTAGTTTATCCATCCATCAGTTTATCCATCCATCCATTAGTTTATAACAAGAAGACAAAGTCATCAATATCCCTAACAATGGCAAAATACTCTTCATTATGTAGGGGTGGTGGGGTAGCCCTGAGGTTAAAGCGCTCGTCGTCCACCGAAGACCGGGTTCGAATCCCCACATGTGAAGCCCATTTCTGGTGTCCCCAAAAACTCTTCCAAACTCAGTCAGAGTCAGTCATGATTATGTCTACGAGTTATGACTATGTCAAATATTTAGGTGTGTATATAGAAAAGTGGAAGGAGAGTATTGAAAGGTTTTAAAAGTTCTGCTCCAGAAAGGAGTCTAAGTCAAACTTGTTGCCATGGAAATGCCAAAAGTATTTTATTCAGAATTCCAAAACTACACAACGGCACCAGTACTACGCCAGACCAATCTATGTGTCAAGTTTGGTGAAGAAATAGAGAACGGTTTTAGAGTTCTGCTCCAGAAAATAGCACAACCACCAATTTCAGGCTAAGTCAAACTTGTTGCCATGGAAACGCCAAAAATATTTTATTCAGAATTCCAAAACTACCAAAAGGCACCAGTACACCACCAGATCTATCTTTGTGCCAATTTGGTGAAGAAATAGTGAATGGTTTTAGAGTTCTGCTCCGGAAAAGAGCACTACCACTAATTCCTTTCTAAGTCGAACTTGTTGCCATGGAAATGCCAAAAATGTTTTATTCAGAATTCCAAAACTACCAAAAGGCACCAGTACACCACCAGATCTATCTATGTGCCAAGTTTGGTGAAGAAATATTGAACGGTTTTAGAGTTCTGCTCCGGAGAAGACAAATGTGCACGAACGGATGGACGGACAGACGCACGCACACACGCACGGACAGAGTCCATTTTAATACCCCCCGCAAAACGTGTTGCTGGGGATAATAAGCTGCAGTTTTACTCACCTTTTCAAAGGGCCTTGTTTTTAGTCTCCACTTCTTGGAAGGAGCCATATTTGGCTTTGTCAGGGGGATAAGTGTGTTGTGCTCCCATCCCCACATGCATATTCATAGAAGTTCTCACAGGGGTCTTGTGTTGTGTTTCATCAAGGAGGTGATGTAGGCACTGGTGGACACACACTCTGGTGTTGTGCAGACCTGCAATACAAGCATGGAGCAGTGTTTGAAATTGTTTCCAAATTTTGCTAGCCAGTCAGGCTAGCTGTGCCTGAAAGTTACTAGCCCACAAAATAATTCACAAGCCCGAAATTTGAAATGTAGAAACTAAGTGAAAGATTACAAAAATAGATGAGAATATGATATTGTCAGCATGACATGGGTTACATCATTAAGCTGCTAATATGATGAGCATTTTAATCAGGCCATACTCTTGCATGATTAAGAGTGTATTATAACTAAGCAAGTCGTAGAGAGTGATATATTTACAAAATGACCCCATGAAAATTCACTAGCTAATCAGGCCAGTGACTGTGGAGATTTACTGGCCCTACTCAATTTTTACTAGCCACTGGCTGGCGGTCCAGTTGCTAATTCGCACACTGGAATGGAGTGAGAGTCTAGAGGGTTTTACCTCAACTCACAAACATGGGGGTCCCAGGAAGCCCCAGTTATTAGTTTTAAGGGTCCTTGCAGACAATACAAGGGTCCTTTTAGGTGTAGATAATTTCTTAGTGTCAGGAATGAATCACTGATCATATGGACTAATGGTTGAAGTGATGCAGGTAACTGCTATGAAAGAAACAACCAAACATCTAGTTAAGTCATAGATGTGTTGTGGGAAGGATAACAATATATGGACTATAGTTTGGCATGAAATGCATGTGGACCCGTTTTTTTTAAAATATCTCTTCATCCAATGACTCAGTCGATCTCAAACTGTGCAAGTGGATGTTTTGTCAGACAACCTAATCACATTGTAAATCACCAATTTTATGCATTTGTAGTAAAGAATCTGTCTATGTAACTGTCAACAAAATAAACAGCAGAACGCAGACGGCTTGCAGAGGGAGGGAGCCAATGACCTGTATCAGCGGCAGGGAGAACATAGCCTTGCTTGAAGAGGGCAACTGACCTATTCAGGAGGAACTGGGTCTTTGATCTTTCACCTAGTCAGAGTCTTTCACCTAGTCAGAGTAAAGAGGGTCTTTGATTTTTCCATGCAGCCTGTGTTAAATGTGGTGTTTAGAGTATGTGCTATTCTTATCATGACAGGTCATTCAAAGTCGTCTCTGGCCTTATTAGCTGAGATTACCGGACAGATAAACATTTAATGAAACTATGGACCAGTGGCTGAAGTGACACAACGGCTGCTAGAATGTTGCAAATATGCATACACACTTTTCACGATGTGTGCCAACAGTTTGTATTTGTTTGTGTGTGTGTTTTGTTGACACTGCACTCAGCAACTTGCCAGCAATACGATGGGAGCTTGTTCATATTTGGAGCGCAACAGTGCAGTGGTTAAGGCGTCTGTCTATCACTCTGGAGGACCAGGTTCAATCCCTAGTGGAGCCACCATGGTTCGTGTCCTGAGGTGGGCACATTTGCATAGTATCCTTGGATAAGATACTTGGATTCCACATTGTCTCCGTTCACCCAGCTGTAAACTGGGTACCTGTGAGGATGTGCCGGCAATGTGAATGTTTAGTTCATCGCGCCTGACAGACAGCATGGCTGTATGCTCCCCAGGGAGTTGATAAACGTATGGGATAGAACGATGGTGTCCTATGACCGGGGATAGTAATGTACGTACTGCCATGGGCAGGTAATGTTCCTGCATATCAGCGCCATACAAGCGTACTGTTACTATTACTATATTTGCGTGATCCAGTGATCCATAGATCAACACAACTGTGACACAATAACATGCAATCAACCACCTGATCCTTTCAATCACCGTGTCGTAAGAGACAAACGGGATCCGGTGGTCAGACTCGCTGACTTAGTTGACACGTCATCGCATCCCAACCGCGTAGGTCAATGCCCATGCTGTTGATCACTGGATTGTCTGATCCAGACTCGTTTTTTTACAGACCGCTGCCATTTAGCTGGAATATTGCTGAGTGCGGTGTTAACAAACGAACAAACCTATCACATATATCACAAACATGGAGGGTGATGGGGTAGCCTAGAGGTTAAATTGTTCGCTCGTCGAAGGCCCAGGTTCGATTCCCCTCATGGGTACAATGTGTGAAGCCCATATCTGGTGTCCCCCGCATGGTGATGTTGCTGTAATATTTCTAAAATCGGTGTAAAACCATACTCACTCACTGATAGACTTGGACAAGGGATTAAATCACAAACCTTGCACTCATCGGCTGGTACAGCCCCAGCTATCAGCACATGGAACAACAGGACGACTTTCATTTTACCATGTACACTGGCAACAGGTCTCCCTGTTCACTCTTGTCAGGAGTGGCAGCTATTAATGACGGCACAATATCCACACAGGGTGCTATCTGACTCTGATTGGCCACTTACCATTTCCTGGTGTAATTGCAGCAGAGGGTCATTACTGTCTGATTACGTAGATGTAATCGTAAATCCCATGACAAATGGAATCAGTAACATGTGGTATCTCAACATTGTGTATGAGCGGAGTGGTGTTGGGTCTATGTACAGTTTTGTTTAATAGTGACTTTTGTAGTGACAACATGGCATTAGGCCAGACCAATTTAATTTTATGTTTTACAGATCTGCCGGTTGTATTTTTTCAAGGATAAGAAAAAAATAAATAAATTAATTTTCCCCGCTCAAAAAATAAAATTTTAATACTTTTGTTGGCCAAAAATGTAAATGTGCAAGAAAATGGTTTTTAGATTGTTTTTTTGCCCCATATACACTTCATGAACTTCCAAAATTAAAATACTTTTAGTATTTAAACAGAATATTACTTATATATTTTTTTCTCCTGCCTTTAGATTTTCTCAAGACAAAAATCTGTATAACAAGAAATAAAATTGGTCTGGCCTTATGAGAATATTTTTTTTTACGGAGGTCTGACACAGGAATATCATATATTGTTATCAGAAAATATTTTATATTTATACATAGGGAAAATATTTTGGTCTACAGGTTGTCAGACAATCAGAACCAGAAAAATATGTTTTGTTTCAAAAGAACATCACATTTTGCTTCAACTGAAAATACTAATTTTGCTACATAGATGCATATTGTGGTTGTATGAAGATTGTGATAATGTACATTTGTACAATTACACATGACATGCGTTCACAGGATTTCAGATTTATTGAACATTAGAAGGGGATGGTTCAGTCCAGCACAGATCTCTCTTCACTGAATTTTAGATTAATCTCTCTTCACAGGATTTCATACTTATTGAACATTACAAGGTGACGGTTCAGTCAGGGGTGGAAATAACTTTAAAACTGCTAGTGTACTCCGGTACAGTGGCACATGTAAAATCACTTGCCCTGATAATTTTTCCACTATACCGGCCGTTTTCTTGTTGATTTTTTAAATAAACAACATAATTAACATTGGAATATCAACTGGACACTGGTACAGTGTGATATACAAATTTGCTTGCCCGACAGAAAAAAACACTGGACTCGGGTGTTGGGCAATGGGTTATTTCCACCCCTGTCAGTCTAGGACAGATCTCTCTTCACTGAATTTGAGATTTATTGAACATTACAAGGGGATGGTTCAGCCTAGGACAGATCTCTCTTCACTAGACTTGACATATAATATTAAACATTACAAGCGGATGGTTAAGCCTTGGTCAGATCTCCATTCATTGAATTTCATACTTATTAGGTTCAGTCTAGGTCCGATCTCCCTCCACTAGATTTGAAATTTATTGAACATGAGGTCGGAGAATGGGAAGATCTGGTTTTGGGAATATTTTGGCCAGCTACAACAAGCATAGCATTAGACACACGCTACATTCTATCCAAACAGTGAGTGAGTGATTTTACGCCGCTTGTAGCAATATTCCAGCAATATCACAGCGGGGGACACCAGAAATGGGCTTCACACATTGTACCCATGTGGGGAATCGAACCCGGGTCTACGGCGTGACGAGCCAACGCTTTAACCACTAGGCTACCCCACCGCCCCTTCAACAGTGACAAGAGAGGACGTGACACTCACCTCCAATTTCTTTGTGGAGAAGTGTTGCCATGCTATAAAGATGACCAGGGCGACGATGATGAGGAACGATGTGATGGCAATGGCCTTGAGTTTGCAGTCTCCGGAACTCTTGGATTTGGGTTTCTTGTTGAGAGTGTCTGCAACCAGAGAAAGACATCATGCAGTTTCCACACAAATCAAGTCTGCACGCAGCCACTTGTCGACAACAGAGTAAGGTAAAACCCTGTTTAGTCGTTACCTCGGCTGAAATATGCTGTAAGTGAAAACATACATGAAGGGAAGGTTAGAAACTATGTTCTGGCCCAAGGACCCCAATAAATCAATATTCCTTTAAGGTCTTGCAACATTTTGATAAACTTTGCAGAAGTTCTGCAATATGATGATGCTAATATCTCCCTTTGAGCATCATCAACTGCCTGCATCGTTTTAGAGGATAGAACATCTCCATCTGCTTCACGTCAAAGATGTTCTTGGAAGGTACTCATTGTTACACTGCCTGCACCTAATACCTGATGGATAATTATCAGATTATCAAATGCCTCATCCACTCCTTGTCTCATGATGCTGATCACTGGATTGTCTGGTCCAGACTCGATTACATGTATTTACAGATGGCAAATTGCTGTAACTTCTCGGGAATTACAGTAATACCTTTAGAATGAGTTATTGCTGAAAGTTGCAGCTGATTTGGAAGCTGAGTCAGGTAATGTCACATTTTGTTTGCCTACCATTCTGGAATGTTCCACATTATTTTATCCATATCACTGCTGGTTTGACTACACCTGAGTACAGCTTTAAACCAAGAAGCAAACCAAACCAAAACTTCTATTCTCCAACTGTCAAAGATGTTCAAAGAAGGTACTAAACACACAGGAAGAATACGTTACAGTTCTGCCTGACACTAACAATATTCATCAGATCCACACACATGACAATATCACCCCTATTTTTTGTCCAGTACATATTATCATATGCCCCTATCCCCTCTTTTGTATCCTCTCTTCATATCCCCGCTCTTATTTCTTCCATTATCTGATATACTGGGGTTGAAGGAGAAAACAGTATTAAAGCGTTCTGTGATATTTACAGATGTACATCTCCAGTAGCTGCCATAACATGAAAATAAGTTTTCAGGAAAATGCACGACTTGGACACCAATCAGTGCCGGCAGTCGTGCTTGAAATGGACATGTAAATTGCGGAACCAAAACTTAATTGATGATAACAAAGAATAAGGCATAAGTAATTCCATGCTTCAAAATCAATTAATATTTCTAAATGTAGGTTTTCCAAATCAACAGGTCTATGTTAATTAACATTAATTTATACCTGTGCTCAGATCTTCTTTTGTCGAGTTGCAGGCAATGGACATTTTCTGTCAGAAGTGTCCATATGGGACTTCATCTTCGAAATAAGGCGCCTTTTACGACAAGCATGGGTTACTGCAGATCAATTCTAACCTGGATCTTCATGGGTGTCAAATTCAAAGATTGCAGCTGTCCAGATTGGATGCCCAACTTGTATTGACTTTTCTCTTTCCAAGCATGACAGTGAGTTATAATCTAACATCGCATCATCTTTGTTTCAGCCATACATCGAAACACAAAGTCATACTTGAAAGCAAATTTATATACACATTTTAGCATTAAAACATTATTTACAACATAAAACATGGGCTATAACAAGTTGCATGCAGCCAGAAATATATCATGCATGATGCATTTTTGCTTTATTATTACAGCATTTGGACCTAGGCAATTTACCTTTATGTGTTTATATTATTTAATAAATTTCACTCTAAATTTCCCTTAAGTATTATGTATATAAATTTTGATGGATACAATCCTTCAGTGCATTATGTCACATGACTTATGCATCTGCTGCCTTCTGAATTAAGGGACATTGAAATTGAAATTGAAAAATGATAATGATTAAAATTAACCTTTTTTATATTTTACTCTGTACATTTCCACACATGGACGGCTAATTTATGCAAGTTCTGGTACATGTACAAATGTAGGTCACTTAATGATGGGTTGGTAGCCGTGTTGTCCATCGTCACATGATCATTGTGGTACCAGACTCCCTACAAACGAAGCGCCTGCTGAGAGTGTCGTGATGTTAATTAGTGTTGGGACTTACTTGCTCGCCTATCCAGGTTTCAGTTTTGTGAAATAAAAATATGTTTAAACTATTAGTGTTGGGAATTGGTTGAAATATCACAATTGATGAATGGTTGATTACCAACGAAGAATCCTCTCAAATAATTGGTTAGGGTCATTTTTCAGATCTTCCTGCTCACCATCCCAGAGATGAAGCTACAAGTGACTTGTGACACAATAAATCCATTCCACTGTTTGTTGATTCAGAAAATGTTAAATATGCTCACCCATCTGTAGGGGTGGGCGATAATACTGGTTAACCGGTATATTGCAATTAGAACTTCACAATATGATATATTGCGGTACACTTTTTGCAAACCAGTTCACCCGATATGATCAGCAATTTCCGTGACCATGATCGGTAATTTTCGTGATGTAGTAAAAAATACTAATAACATTTGTATTTCATGTATATTATTATACATTAATAGTTTTGAGAATGTTTATTTGTCAATCACATCTGAGTCCTGACAGTGGCCAGTGGCATTGTTTTAAAAGAAAGGAAAACAGTAATTTCAAACCTTCGTTAACCCATTCAACACCACAGGCCGGAAAACCGGCCAAAACACCGTAGGGCGGAAAACCGGCCAAAACACTGTAGGGCGGAAAACCGGCCAGGCAGTAGTCACATCAAAATGACATATAATGTTTGGAACCTACCTAAAATTAACTTATTTAAATTGTAGTTATATTATTTTAATAATATGATAACAAATGGCAGTAAAAGTCTCTGGTTGACTGGTGTTGAATACATATTGCAATACGCCAACACATATCACAATATATCACAATATATCACAATATATCACAATACGAAAAGTTTTGCAATACCCAACCTTGCCCATCTTTGTCTCCATCAACCCAGAGATGAAGCTACAACTGATTACGACACAATAAACCATTCCACTGTTTGTTGATTCAGAGACTGTTAAATATGCTCACCCATCTTTGTTTCCATCAACCCAGAGATGAAGCTACAACTGATTGCCACACACAAATAAACCATTCCACTGTTTGTTGATTCAGAGACTGTTAAATATGCTCACCAAATGGCATCTTTGTTTCCATCAACCCAGAGATGAAAGCTACAACTGATTCCATCAACCCAGAGATGAAGCGACACAATAAACCATTCCACTGTTTGTTGATTCAGAGACTGTTAAATATGCTCACCCATCTTTGTCTCCATCAACCCAGAGATGAAGCTACAACTGATTGCGACACAATAAACCATTCCACTGTTTATTGATTCAGAGACTGTTAAATATGCTCACCCATCTTTGTCTCCATCAACCCAGAGATGAAGCTACAACTGATTGCGACACAATAAACCATTCCACTGTTTATTGATTCAGAGACTGTTAAATATGCTCACCCATCTTTGTCTCCATCAACCCAGAGATGAAGCTACAACTGATTGCGACACAATAAACCATTCCACTGTTTGTTGATTCAGAGACTGTTAACTATGCTCACCCATCTTTGTTTCCATCAACCCAGAGATGAAGCTACAACTGATTGCGACACAATAAGCCATTCCACTGTTTATTGATTCAGAGAATGTTAAATATGCTCACCCATCTTTGTCTCCATCAACCCAGAGATGAAGCTACAACTGATTGCGACACAATAAACCATTCCACTGTTTATTGATTCAGAGAATGTTAAATATGCTCACCCATCTTTGTCTCCATCAACCCAGAGATGAAGCTACAACTGATTGCGACACAATAAACCATTCCACTGTTTATTGATTCAGAGAATGTTAAATATGCTCACCCATCTTTGTTTCCATCAACCCAGAGATGAAGCTACAACTGATTATTATGCACACAATAAACCATTCCACTGTTTGTTGATTCAGAGACTGTTAAATATGCTCACCCATCTTTGTTTCCATCAACCCAGAGATGAAGCTACAACTGATTGCGACACAATAAACCATTCCACTGTTTATTGATTCAGAGAATGTTAAATATGCTCACCCATCTTTGTCTCCATCAACCCAGAGATGAAGCTACAACTGATTGCGACACAATAAACCATTCCACTGTTTGTTGATTCAGAGACTGTTAAATATGCTCACCCATCTTTGTTTCCATCAACCCAGAGATGAAGCTACAACTGATTGCGACACAATAAACCATTCCACTGTTTATTGATTCAGAGAATGTTAAATATGCTCACCCATCTTTGTCTCCATCAACCCAGAGATGAAGCTACAACTGATTGCGACACAATAAACCATTCCACTGTTTGTTGATTCAGAGACTGTTAAATATGCTCACCCATCTTTGTTTCCATCAACCCAGAGGTGAAACTACAACTGATTGCGACATAATAAACCATTCCACTGTTTATTGATTCAGCCCGTCCAGTTTCTAGCTTTCAAGTCAACAGGTGGTGGAAGACTGTGTCATTAAAAACTGTACCATATTCTGTTTAGGTGTGAATTGTCCCATCCGTAAATACAATGGTTAAAAAAACACGAAAACATGGCTTCACCTAAAAATGGGTGATAAAAATGGTAATGTAACAGCTCTGCCAGTGTTGATTTGCACCAATAAAATTTACTCCACACGTATGTGGCATATTGTCTGCTATACTCTCAACTAATACTGGGGACCAATGGCCGTTGATATTTTGTCCAACTGTAGTCTTTCGTGAAATCAGCCAATGCCCGTGCACTCGTAAACAACAAGCCAGCGATCTGTTCCCTGCGGACAGCACCATCGTCAAGTTAGATGTGGTAATGTGGGGTTCTGTGCATAGAGCTCAGGTTACACATCAGCTGAAGTTAAGCAACACTGAGCAGAGCTCCTGATAAGCTTTTGGCCATATGGGTATGATACCCATACTTTTGAAACTAAGTGGGTATTTCTAATTTCAAGTGGGTGTCTATACTTTAGATACCCACCATCTTTTTACTGACTGACTGACTGAGTTTAGTTATTTCAGCAATATCACGTCCGGGGA